CAGCCACTGAGTTACAGATAGTTCTGAGACTTCTCAAGCACTCAGATCCTTGAAATCCCCTTTGCGGGCCGGAAGGGTGATCCGCTCTCTCTCCTCTGTGTCGTTCGCCAAAGGCCCCGTGAAACGGCAGGTGGCCGTGAAGTCCACCCGAGGCTTTGCCTTGAAGTCCACCCACGGCATCGCCATCAAGTCCACCAACCTGGCCTCCGGGGAGAACATGCCGGTCCGGAGAAACACGCGCCAGTTCTATGACGGCGAGGAATCGTGCTACATCATTGATGCCAAGCTGGAAGGCAACCTTGGCCGATACCTCAACGTAAGACCTGGCAAAAAAGAAATTCACCAACCCGAAAATGTGCCAAATGCAACATGTCCATTTTCCCCCCAGAATAAAAAAAAAGTTTTTCTGTTCTTTTTCTGGGAAAAAAAATAGAATTTTTACTCCAATAATTTTACATCTCTATGGAAAACTACAGTTGAGAACTGAAATGTGAATAGATTACATCCCATTTCAGGATCTGTTTGTTCTTTTTGGAACGCTCCGTAGAAAGAAGAGTTCCAAAATGTTACCCATCCAGTCTTGCACACAAGGCGAGCCTCCCCCCCCCCTTTTTTCTGTGGGCTTGAACGCTCTTGTGATGCCGTAGTGCGTTCCTGGGAGTTTTCTGGGCCTTCAGGTGGGGTGGGAGCAGATGGGATGAGGGCAAAGGAAAAATTAGCTGGCCGGATTCCACAGATCGAATCGAGACCTCTGGCAAGAAGATTCTGAGGCACCCCTTTGGGAAACGAGGCTGTCGATTCAGAAGAACTGGGCTTCTGTTTTGAACGGGGCCTGGTTGGAGGCCGGTTAATGCCTGAAACTCAGAAGCTGGGGGGGGGGCTGCCTCTTTCACCCTAAGGATCACTTTTTAGGGCCCAGCTGTTACAGTGACGAGCCCACCGTCTTTATCTTTCCAGCATAGCTGCAGCCCCAACCTCTTTGTGCAGAACGTCTTTGTGGATACGCATGACCTTCGCTTTCCCTGGGTGGCCTTCTTCGCAAGCAAGTAAGGATTTTTTCCTCCTCCGCTTGGGACACCTTTCCTTTCCTGCTTTTCCTTCTCCCACAGACTCTCTTAAGGCCACAACCTTGCCATCTGAACTGTGAAACCAACACTTCCGTTTTACAGATGGCAGAGGAAAGGCGCAGGCACAGTGTCTCCCAGGCAGGGGCTGTCAGGGTCAGCAGCCCAGAAATCATGATCTGAGCAGGATACTCCGTCCTGGGGACACTCAAACTGTCATTTCCCCTCCTCCCTTGCCAGTTATTCCATCTGGCTCATGTTTTAAGTGCAGATTTTCTTCAGCAGTAGTATCTTGTTGGGAGCTATCCCTGTTGCCCTTCACTGCATGTAGGATGTGGTTTGGTTTCAAAAGGACAGTCAAGACCCCTTAGCTTTATAAAAGACCCGCTCCCCTTCTGAACACAAATACAGCTACAGTGAGTGAGTGCATCAGGGTGGATCGACTCAGTGGCTTGCCTTCTGGAAAGGGGGGGGGAGTTCCTCCTGCCAGATAGGCCATCCTGCGGGCAGCCAATCCAGACTTTTCTCTCCCTTGCAGGAGGATCCGCGCTGGCACGGAGCTTACGTGGGACTACAACTACGAAGTGGGAAGCGTGGAAGGCAAGGAGCTTCTCTGCTGCTGCGGGGCCATTGAATGCCGAGGACGCTTGTTATAAGGCGAGCCGGAGGCCGTGGGGTACATGGCGGTTTCTGCGTCCCCCCCGCCCCCTTGGAGGGGACAGCAAAACAAGTCTATTCCCACAGAAGGCGACACTCCACCTCCTCATGTACCCAGGTCTTGGGGGCTTTTTTCCCCCCCAGTGGCTGGTTTTCTCACCCTTCGTGTTGACTGTGTTTGCAGGGCATTCGTACTGTGTTTGTAAAGGACATTTTCTCCCCCCCCCACCCCCTTTTTTTTTCTTCCATTGTTCGTAAAACAATAAAACAATCCTGATTACAACTCCGTATTCCATTGGCGCTCATGCAGAGATTCACTGGGGGGGAAAAAGAGGGAACAGTATGCCAACACAAGAGACATGGAGGATTTCCTACTAATCATTTTCAAAGAGAGCGCCTCTTTCAGCGTGGCTTCGCTCTCCCTGCAGAAAGCAAAACAAGCAAGCAAGCAAACCACCCCACCCCCAGTGAATCAAAGTTTTGCATTACCTTTTCAGATTTTCTGCAAGGTCTGAAGACTTGAGTTGTAAATCCAAGCAGACTCAGGCTAAAGTGAATCCATCAGGTTAGTCTCAAAGGTGTCAGGGTTGGGGAACCCTTTGTGCATTTTGGACTACAGTTCCCATACTGCTCTATTAGGTAAGGCTGATGGGCACTGAGGGCCAAAGTTTTCCTCTTTTCAGGTGGAAGGAAGGTCATTTTAAGTCACATGGGAAAAGTCGAAAGAACTCTAGCGCTGTATCAAGGAACGTTCTATATTCTAGTCAGAGACCCAAACGAAAAGCAAGGTAGGACACTGAACATTTTTTAAAGAAGTTTATTAGTTTTATTTAGGTTTTTAATATATTTTAACTTTTTAAAAAAAGGAAACACACATTTTGGTCTGGAGAAAGCTTAATGGTCCTTTTGTAAACCTCCCTCCCCCACCCCCAGGATAGGCTGGAAATAACCACATAAACCCTTGGATCCTAGTCATGAAACCAGCTTTTTTTCCTGCTTTCCTCAGCAGTTCTTTCCTGCCTTTAAAAAAAATCATCTGCTCAGGTATTCGAAACCCCTATCTAATAAATTAAAAAAAAATCACTGTGTTCCCCTAGGTTTGGGTGTACCTTGATGTTTGTTTTTTTAAAACAGGATGAGAAATGGGTGCTCAGAAAGGGAGGGAGACTAAGGGGAAGGGAGTCTGTGTCCACTGTCTGTCCTGCACGCAAGGTGTGTGCCATCTATATATCACTTCTGCTGTCTTTTAAGCTCCTTTAACCTACTGAATTCTGCCCCAGGCCCTTTCCCCTACTCGAAAAATAACGAGGTTAGCAAACAAATGTACCTTATTTTTCCTGAACGTTATGTGGACTCTTTAAAAATAGAAAGTAACTTCCATTACAGACCTCGGTGCGCAACCCTTCCCCACCCCGGTGAATTATCCTTGGCCTGCCTTTTCTTAAATATCCAAAATTATGTACAAGAGATGCTCATGGTGGGAAGGCAGAAAGGTTCCCAGCTGATGATCTGTAGGGAAAAAGGAGGAGAGTCTTCTCTCTCTCTCCCCTGAGGAATTAATTTGGGCTATGGGGGGAAAAGACACCAACGTTCTTTGTGAAGCAAAACAATAAAATGAAACAAAAGCTGTGGTTTCCATAAGGCCAGGGGCAAGGGGAAGAAATCAAGAGGCAGTTAAGCAAGATCAAGATTCTAGGGTTCCCTAGCAGGAATAAGGCAGATTCAAATATGTGTTTCTCCGCCTGCTGCAATTTGGAAACAGTGGCAGCCGTTGGATCTGGGTGCGAGTGAGAGTGTTTTGTAAGTGTACCCCATTGGTGGTGCGGGTTCTGCTTTACCCGGTCTTTCCCAAATTGCACATCCCTAAGAAAAAGGAGAACACCAGAGAAGATGGGCAGGAAGCACCCGCCTTTCTCTGTTCCTGCACTCGGGGCTGTAGATCTCCACCTCGGTGCCCCCACCTGCGTTTCCCCCACCCACCTGAAAAACCCAGCAATGTCCTCGAGTGGCAGATCACTGCAAACTTGAAAACACCCACCCCAAAAAAGGTCCAGAGTAGAAGAGGTTTAAAAAAAAAATCAGCATTCCACCACTTGTTTTTTTTAATCAAAGGCCTTTGGCACAGGGAGGGAGAAGACTCCCTGAGGACTAGCAACTTGAAATCGGATCACCGATTGTTACGGCATGGTTGCTGACATGGAAATTCGTCAGGTGTGCAAGTGTGTGTGCATTGGTGGGAGTAAAGTTAGGGTCATCTCTCTATCCTGCAGTTTCTTAGACGCTGAATTGGAGAGGTTTGGGGTGGGGGGGAAAGAAGGGGAAATATCTTTATTTCACACTTGACATTAGTTTTAAGGCAGTTTGGTAAAGAAGGATAAGAGGCAATGAACGAGGCCATCTTCCTGTAACATGAAGATCAGGGGCAAGGAGCCGAGGGGTCTTTTCACGGTCCCCATTCCCATTCAAAGAAGAGGCCGGCGATGCCATTATTTCAGGCGGTGTGGTTATTTCCTCTACGTGCCATTTTAGGATCGCAAGTTATCGTCCCGAGTCCCTCTGGAAATGAAAGCACCCGGCTTCGGCAGACCTCAAACAGACAGGGCCAGGAGGATGCCCCCCCAGGAAAGAGAAGAAAAGGGAGACCGTGCTCTGGGGGTGGATTTTTCCAAGTCCTCCTCGGAGAAAGGGTTTTCTTTTTTTAATTATTTTCTTTTGGTTTTGGCCTCAAAAATAACCAAGTGGACCCCCATCTCGGCTTCTGTACCTCAGGACAGACAACAGGTGACCTGGAGGGAAAAGGGGGGGTAGTAGTACCCCCCGTGGGCCAAAGAGAGAAAATCATTCCGCTTTCCGATGGTTATTGTTCAAGACGGGGTGCCCGTTGGTAAGGGGGCCGTTTTTCGTGGCCCCTGGAGGCGTGGAACCCGTGACCGCCTTCTCCTCTTCCTCGTCGGTGTTGTCGGTCTCATCCCTGTCACTCCGCTCATCCTCCACCACCTGCGAGGAGATGGAAGAGAGGTTTCAAACCTGGTTATTTTTTTCACCCAAGGGCCTTGTCTAGTCTGTGTTGTGACCCACCACCTTGTATCCTAAACAACTCAGCTTTCTGCAAAACAAAAAACAAAGCAAAACAAAACTCCACAAGCAACTAGTCATGATTAAGAAGGCTACAATTCTACAGTAGCGGCTTCTACCGAGGCATCAGCAAGTACGTAGAATATTCTCATTTTAGAAGACAGCATTCCAGACCCGTCGGCTTCTTAAATGCTGAAGGTGATAATTCTAAAAAGTGGGGACCTTCAAGGGCAGAGCGTGGGGGCTGCCCTTGTGAACCAGGATCCTGGAAAATCGCACGGAGAACCCCCACGAACAGGCATGCTCTCTCTCTCTGGACTCACTGTCCTCTATTTGCTTTTAAGGTTTTTTGTTGTTGTTTTTAGAAGACTTTAATTGTCCAAGTCTCTTTTAATAGGACTGCATCCTTTGAGATCTGTCAAATACGGAATTAAAATAAAATAGGAAGGTGGGAAAAATGAGGATAAAGTTGAGGCAAGGCTGAAGACCTCCTTCTTTGCATCTCGTATTCCGTGCCATTTTTAGCAACCGAATAGAGCCTGGGGACGCTTTTCACCTATTCCCCCCCGCCCCCGTTTCATAGAACAGCCCCCGCTGCCGCTTTTTGCCTTTCCCAAATGTAAAAAATGCCGTTCTTTTTCCTGCCCTGCCCATCTTGGCGGCGCCAGAGGAAAACATGAGCGAAGGAGAGAAACAGAAATGCAGGCTTGCCTTTCCAGTTATGAATTTCTGGGCCATGCGGATAATGAGAAATGCCCAAAATATATGCAGGCACTGGAGGACCACCATCATGAAGTTGAAGAAGTAGTAGCCGAAGAACGCCGGATAAAACTCCAAAGGGTAAATGATGGTGCAATGTAGAATCCTAGGCAGAGGAAATCATTAGGGTTATTTTTCGCTGTTGGATTATCTCAGGTGACCTAATTTGTATCGTTAAAAACTTCTAGACAGACGGAAGGAAGTCTTTCCCCATCATCGCATTTCCATGCCAGGAAAAGCTTTATTCTACAAAATTTCTACATGTTTGCATTTTAGCAGTTTAAAAAGAATATGTTTATGGAATGCAAGCTTCTACATTTGGTCTAAAAGAACTATCCCTAAAATTCTGACCCATAATATTCACCCTTACCACCTTTTACTTGTCCCGGTATTACAATAATAAAGTTTCTTTGTGGGCTCCATAATTAAAAGGAGCACCTTCCTTTGACCCCATAGATATTGAGAGGTTTTGACTACGAGTCCCATTATTCCTGAGCCACTCGTTGGGCCAGCTAAAAAAAGTTTGGAAAGTGGCTTCCTGGGATTCTAATCTTGATTTAAGAAATTAAAAAGTTGCAGGTCTTTAAAACAAAGGGAAAGGGAAAAACTCGAAAGAACCGCAGCTAGCTGTCACATCTGGCTAGATTCTGACCTACCCAATTTCTGGAAAACTCAAAAGTTCACCCTGACGGCAAGATTTCAGAGACTCAATAAACAGTATTCACTGACCTTAAAATTTGATAGCATTTAAGATCCACCTGTTGTGCATGCCTTGGTTTCTAAATGTTATTATAAACAATTGCACCAATAGCTCCAACTTTAAAAGGATTTACGTTGAAAGCCAAGCTTGAAGGCCCACAAAATCCTCACCAGAATGGAAGGATGATGAGACGGGTAATGATGAAGACCACAGCGAAGACAATAAAGATGTTGTTACAAGTATTCTTCCAGCCGGCGTAATTAAACATCTTTGCCGACTAAGGAAACAGAATATGGGAGAAGGGGCATCATTCAGACACAAGTGCGAAGCGCCGGATGACAAATGCCATTATCCCCAGCTAGTAGTGCTACTGGGATACAGACTGCCACCCCCATCCCCTCAACCAACAGCAGATAAAACAGTATTATTTTTAGATTACCTTTAGTCTTGAAAGGTGGTTTTAAAATTGATATGGGCTTTTCAATCTGCATTTACAGAAGGTTTTATCTATTCCATTGTTTTGGCTTCAGATGCTCCGATGCACCAAAAAGCAGTAAATGAATACTTTTAATAAATAATGGAGAAAACCCCAATATTTAAACATGGCAGAGAGGAGTCAAAGGTTCCAAGACAAGGCTGGAAAGACTTCAAGAAAGAAGGAAGAGGGGGTGTGAAAGAGCGAGAGGAAGGGTGGATGAAAACTGACCCCCATGTTTGAGTTCTGGAATTTTCCAATTTTGAGTCAACAAAGTGATACTCCAACTGGGTTTACCCCCACCAGTCCTGGAGTCAGGGTGGCCGAGTTCTCACCTCCAGCAGATAGTCGGAAGAATCGTGCAAGGCCATGATAAGCGTCCCTGCCCGGATGTAATTGGTGAACCAGGAGAAGCTGATCAGGATAATGGTGGCCACGTGGTGGATGACCTGTTCCTTAAAGTCCTGCAAGAAGAGAAAAAGGTCAGGAAAAGGTGGAGGAGAAAAGGTTCACACTAGAGGAAAGTGAGAAGAGGAGGGAAGAGGGTTGCACCAGAGAAGAGGAGCAGGAAAAGCTAGCCATGATGGAAGAAGAGGCTGCTCATAACATTAAACCATGGTTTAGCATTATGTCCAGATACAACCATCTTCATATAATCCGCTGTCAGTACAACAGAGCAGCTGTTGAGGCCGGTGTTGAACTGGTGGCAGCAAAACCACTCCGGTTTCCAGCCTGAACGTTAAAGGAGCCACCCGAATCGCTGAACCTGTTCTCTAGATAGGGTTCAGCCTCTTAAACTTCCTGTAAAGTTCAAAACAAAACCCAAACCAGGTTCACCAACCCTATGATATTGAAATAACCAGGCTTCTCCGATGTGAGCCCCAGCTATCATTTCACCCCCTAATTTTTCCCAGGCTCACTTCAAGCCCAGTGCCTCTCTCTGACCAATTATTTCATCTGCCCCGGAGGACCCCAAAAAGGTCATCCTTCTGAGTAAGGATTCCAGGGTGGTACTGGAGAAAATAGCTTTGGAAGGCTGAAAGGCAGGGACTAAGCCATATTATTTACAGGGGTAAATCTTATTTTTAAGGCACCAGCTATTTCGTTCCTTGAATATATAAACCATCTTCTACCCATAGAGCACAGTTGGATTAGTGCTGTGGAGACCAGGGTTCACGGCCATACTCCACAAACTAGTGTAATAACAAAACAAGATGTTACTGGTAAAATATCACAAACGGTGCAACAGACCAGATGGGGAGCTATTGGGCTTTGCAAGCTCATCTCTCCACTCCTCTGCAGATCAAATCCCCTGCGCTCACCTTACGTTTTACGTCGGAGGCGATGCTGAACAACAGAGACCAGTAAAAGGACAACTCAATCATGTAATACCAATACTGGGATGGCAGCAGGCTCTGGATGAAGAAGGAAAATAAGAAAGAAGACAAAAGTAACATCCAGGTCAACCTGAAGCTGGATTTGCAATGGACACTTGGACATTATAGGGCTGGTTTGGGGGCCTGCGGAAAGGACCGATCGGAGCAGACACAAAAAGACCTCAGAAGTGTGTATATTTATGAAAATCACCCACCGTATTTCTGAAAACCATGTTTCATAAATGAGGCAAATGGAGGGGAAAAAAGCCCAGGCATTTCAGATCATCCTTTAGGGAAGCAGAGGATGTTAGCCCCGTTTCCCAAGAAAAGGCGTATCTCAGGAGAGAAATCTTCATTGGCCGTAGAAACAGACTATCAAATATCCACAATCCACAGACAGGAAATGGCCTTTATTGCAATCAACTGTCAGTGGAGAAAATAGGCCCTCTTCGGAAATCGAGGCTAAAAAGTTCACTCACCTGAACAGGGTAGCCTTCCCACACTTTACGGAGGTCATAAAACCAAGGTTTCTGCAAGATTAGACCACAGAAAAGATAAAACGTGAAGACGGGGGACGACATGAACGGGTTTGCAAAATGCAGAATAAGAAATGGTAAAAGGAAGGCACAGGATAATGATCAAAGGGAATAATCAAATTAGAATGGAAAAGGAAAGGAAAATAAACCTTATACTTACATCTGCTATCACAACCATGCCAGCAATGAAAGCAATAAGGTAAAAGGTGAATCTCCAACTGGAAAAGGAAGCACAAAGTGGGTTTTTCCCCCCCTCAACAGATGAAAAACACATCAAGCCCTGTCAAGATTGCTTCTGGGCACATGCAGAATGCCACCCACATAGTCATCTATCTTTTCTATAGTTTGAATAACATTCATACCCCATAGAGAAGTAAGATGTATGGGGTTTGCCGTTCACACTGTTATCAAGTTTTATATTAATATTTATGTTTTCAATACAATTTACAACAGGAAACTTTTGAAGTTAGGTAAAAGGCACACCCTTCCCGTTCCAGCTCTCAGTGTGTAAGGCTCCTCCATACAAAATCATATTCCCTGCATCTGGAAAGCAAGCGTGTCAGGGAGAAGAGTTCGAGATGACCTTTCTGTCTTGATAGGCTGCTTTTCTACCTGCATGATTTCTTTGGTACAGTATATGGCAAAGGAAACTTCTTAAAATGTGGTGAGCCTTTCTGTATTCCAATGTGGTATAATTTGCCAGCCTCAATGAGAACTAGGCTCATGTCACATTAACTTGAGCATGGTTCCCTCCAAAACCTTTTAGAAAATTAATAAATTCTTTGGATTTGTAAACTGGGACAGTGGAGCAAGCAGGGAAGAATTGGTCTACATGCCATCTGTTACCGACCATTCTCCTATAATTCACACAGGAGCGAAATCGATGCAAAAAATAACGCGGAGAGAAGGCATACGATTCACCCCCAAATAAAACAGGGCATCCTGGGGCTAAAGCCCACTCTTTTTCTCTACCTGGCCTCCCGAAACTTCTTGAGCAAACTGGGCCGATCCTGGTTGCGCCGACGCCGAAACCAGCGCTCCACCTGCCGGGGGGTGTAGCCGCTTTTCTTCGAGAGCCCCTCAATGTCGGCCTGCGAGGGCAGAAAAAGAGACCCCCGTGGGGGGCGCTTCAAGACAACCAGACAAGATCCTTTGGCAACCCCACTGAAAAAACTGCCCCCATAAATTATTTCGTTGCTTGCAGAAGCTGAAAAGGCCAATCGGAAAGCAGCCGTCTTTAAAAAAGGAACTGCTGATGAAGGTTTAGCTGCTTAACTCTCTTTTCGGGGGGGGGGGAGACTAAGGAAAGCAAGTCATGACTCCCCCCCCCCAAAGGGTCTTGATTAAAGACTTGTAAATTTTATTAGGTATTCATTTTCATGGCCCACAGATCACATCAGGTGCATCGTCCAACAGAGGCTGACCCCTTTGGCCACGGGGACCGGTTTAATGCCCCCCCCCGGTCTACGAGAACAGCCCAGCGGCCACTCTCGACGTTGGCTTGGCTCCGGGGAAGGCGGGCCGGTTTTCCCCGGCTCACGAACTGATCCACTCTGCCAAGGGTTTGCCATTTCCCCCCGCTTGGCACTAACGTAATGCCAATTCCAACCTCCTCATGCTGTTTGCTTTTATGCAAATAGTGAAATTTACACACGCAGAGAGAGAGAGAGAGAGACACAATTTCTTGTTTCTCTTTACGCGATGCTACATTTTGATATTTTTGCTCTGCAACACTACAGTTTTGTCTTTTGTATCGGTTGCGTTTGGTGGTTTGCTTTTATGTATCCTAGTTTTTATTCTCCCGCCTTCTGGTCCCGTCACTTCTCTGCTGGGTCCCAGACCCGGACGGACCGTCTTGCTCCGAGCCTCTTTCCGCACCAGGCAGGCAGGAGCCCTAATCAGAGGGAGGGCAGCTTTTCCTCATACACACAGCTTTGTTAGCCAAATTACCTGTTTGGGGTGTTTACAGGAAGAAGTGTAAAATTTCTCTAGCACTGGGTTCTGAGTTGCTTTTAACCGGACTTTCTCCTTGACGTTCAAAAGACCGGCTAATGGAGTGGCCACATACCTGGATGGGAAAAAAAAAATCAGAATCAGAGAGAGAGAGATGTGAAGTTAGCAGCCTGAAATTCTGTTTATTATTTAGCTTCTCACTGTAAAAAAGTTGAGGAAGATCTTACGCACTCTCCCAACACCAGATTTTAAATCTGAACAAGATCCATCAACTTGTTTTCACACCCAGGTTAAGTCTGAGAAAAGGCACCAGTAAATTGGGACCCAAAGTGTATCTTGAGACTGTATCGTCCATCCTGCAGCCATGACACTCGGGTCCTGTTCGTTTCAAATGGGCTTGAAATCAATGTATGATTTTTATTTTTTTTAGCAACAGCCACATTTCAAACCATGAGCTCTTCCTTCTGCCTAAGGAGCCTTTACGGCATGAAATAATGCTTTCCAAAAAACATTTAAGAGCTGAACATTGTCTCTGAAGAGGACCACGATTCTATCGTAGGGAGACAAGGATTGCTGGAAAAGACAACAAGACTTGGAAAAGCAAAAGGAACGTAGTTAAGGAACAAAACAAATTGTAATGAGTGGGATATGTATCTGTAAAATTCATCAGCTAACTAAAGTTTCCCCAGAAAGTGGTCGAAGATCTCATCAGTCACCAGGTGGCGATAAAACACAGGTTAAGAGGGACAGAGCAAAAGTTGGGAGCAGGATGATGGAGGGGAGGGGGAAGAGAGAATGATGATGATATGGGGAAAGGGAAAGTTTTTAGAAAAATCTTCTTAAAAAATCTTCTTCTAAAAATCTCCATTTATTTGGTCAGGTCCATTGGAATGCGATTTAAAATAGGGTTTTTCCCTGTCTTATTGTAGGTGTTTCGGATGACATCTTGAGTTGATCCTGTGAAAACTGCTTTCACACACCGTCAAAAAAACCAAAAAACCTAAAACTGAGAGCTTGAAGAAAAAAAGATATTGCACGATGTTTTATAGGAAATAATCATCCTTTGAAGGGAACAGACGCCAAGGGTGTGTTTAATTGTAACCTGTTTAGAGGACTACATCCTCCATGGGGCTGCCTCTGAAGAGGGTTTGAAAACTTAGTCACAAAGCTTAGAAAGGGCGCTTTGTTTTTGGCTCCTGTAAAAGCTTGCCTCGTGTAAAAACTTTTTTTTTGGGGGGGACCCTCCTCTCAGCACATTGCAGGAGGACATGGGAGGGGCTTATTCAGTGGTGGCTCCCAGCCAGGGGAACTCCCTGCTACAGGGAGCTTGGTTCCTGCCTTCTTTTTTGACCTCTCGCCAGCAGGCAGGGCCTTTAAAAAAAAAGCAGAGGCAGTTTTTTGGCACCATGTCTGATTAATGGCATTCCGTCTGACTCCTTGCAGTGTGAAACCTTCACAAGCATTTTGATTTCAGCTTGATTTTATTTTGTTTGTTTTACTGATTGCAGTGAAGACTTAAGGCTAGGGTAGAAAGACAGGCTGTATTAACAAAGCTTCCTTGTTGTTTTATTAATTAAAATATTTCATTAGCAGAACAGCATCTTGTTAATAACGCAGGACACAGCTTGCCTGTTTCAATATTGATTCATCAAATATTTTAATGAATAAAGCAACAAGAAAACAGTATTTTAATTAATCATAGAAATAAATATATTTATTGCTTTTAAAAAACCAGCAAAAAGATCCCCCTGTTCGTCGCATACTCTCCCATCCATCATTAAAATATATGTTTTTATATATACACACACATAAACACACACACACTGCAGTTCCTGTAACACAGTTCTGCTTGTCTCCAGCCCCTTCTTCCAGGGGGGCGGGAGAGAGGCTGTCACCCTCTGTAAATAATTGCTCTTTAATACTTCGGCCTTGCGATCCCGCCTCCTTAGTAGACCCATCGCTGGCACAATGTGGGCAATACAATGCCATGATTATGCCCGGAGATCACTGTTGGCCAAGCTGCCCGCCCTTCTTCTGTTCTCAATTGTTCTCTCTTGGTCCTTGGCTAATGTTCCAGGCTACAGCAGCAAAACTCTTGTCTTTTGCCCTTACTCTTGAGGAATTCACGGGGGTCCCATGTACGGGGGGGAGGGTTGACGTCCCCCATAACAATCTCGCCAAAGGGTTTGCACAGATGTATGTAGGTTAGGAAACATCAGCCCCTTTGGATGGGATGGACGTCTGCTCCTGAAATGTCCAGCTAGCAAGGTCAGTGGCAGGGGGATGATGGGGGTCCTGATCCACATGAAGGACCCAAGGTTCTTTTCCACCTTCAGTGAAAGGAAACGGGGCAAGGAGACCACCTCTCCCATCACCTCCACTGACTGGTCCTCAGAATATATCAAGAAAAACTTCCTAACTGTATGACAACAAAACCCATGACCTCAGGAGGGAGGGAGGGCTCCCACCCTGGAGGGTGGCCTTAGACAACCACCAGGTATCTTTTGATTTGAAGGGGGCTGGACTCGATGGCCTTAAGAGGCCCCTTCCCACGTCACAATTCTATGATTCTGTGGACTCACGTTTCAAATAGATGTCTGATGACCAGGAAGACGAAGGCTAAAGGGATGGTGAAGTAGAGGTCGGAGGCCTTGGTGTAGACCCGTCCATCGCGGTCTTCAAGGTCGGCCCAGGTGAGGTTGGCTGGCAGCCAAAGCCGGTCCCACCAGAAATAATTGTATAAGGTCTGGAACATCCTGAAAAGGGGGGATAAAAATGAGAGAGAGTGAATGTTGATACGATTGCTTAGGAAAGAGGCCATTCGTGGAAGGCCAGAGCTTTTAAAAGCCTCCCCCATAGAGTCAAATCTAGCTAAAACCAAATTAAATTGATTTTAAGACTTCTCAGAGTTCCTGGTTGGGGAATTCTCTGCCGGAGTCCAAAAAGGTTTTTTTTCCCCCGTTACAGGACTTCAGGGTGGGTAAACTGGAGCAATACAGGTGTTGATGGAACAAAACATCCCAGCGGCCCCAGGCAGGGGAGCAAGGGTGAGGCACTGGCGGGAATTTGCAGGCCAGCAACACCGGAAGGGCCTCCAGCGGCTAACCAATGCCCCCCTCCAAAAAATCGGCTTAGTTCTACCCCAAAGAAAGATCAGAGTTTAGCTAAGCATCCGGGCCCAATCCAGATGCCGTCTCAGTTCAGCAGGGCTCCTGGCACCTGGGGCTTTGGAGTGGTTGGACCTGCGTCTAAGACAGCCTGGGAGGGAAGGAGAGAAAGGGGAGAGAAAAGATAGCATTTCAAGGAGCGGGAAACTATCTCTGGGTTTCAGGCCAAGCAGCAAATTAAGCAAGAGGTGAAGGATAAAAGTTCCACCCACGTCAGGTGCGGGCAAGCCTGCTGCATTTATGAGCAATTTTTAAAACATCTCTAAGTCCTTCCTGATTGGGATCCCTAGGAAACCCTTCAACCCCTGTATTCACCAGGGTTCCCTCCCTACCTCACCAAGCCCCCTGTTTTCTCTTATCAACCTCTGCAAAAAAAACAACACAACCCTCACTTTTGACAATAATGCAGCAAATAAATGCAGTTCAATCATTTTTCAACAGAGGAGGCTGAGACACTTTACTCTTAAGCCCAGAATCTGCTGAATTTGCCCCTAAAAATCTGTCACGGCCTCTGTATCTTCCCCTTCTATTTCCCAGGAGGTGATGGGGCCAGTGGCCATGATCTTAGTTTTTTTTTATGTTGAGCTTCAGACCATTTTTTGCATTTTCCTCTTTCATCCTAATTAAGAGGTTCTTTCATTCCTCCTCACTTTCTGCCATCAGAGTGGTATCATTTGCATATCTGAGGTTGTTGATATTTCTTCCGGCAATCTTAATTCCGGTTTAGGATTCATCCAGTCCTGCCTTTTGCATGATGTATTCTGCATATAAGTTAAATAAGCAGGGAGACAATATACAGCCTTGTCATACTCCTTTCCCAATTTTGAACCAATCCGTTGTTCCATATCCAGTTCTCACTGTTGCTTCCTGTCCCACATATAGATTTCTCAGGAGATAGATAAGGTGGTCAGGCACTCCCATTTCTTTAAGGACTTGCCATAGTTTGCTGTGGTCCTCACAAAGGCTTTTGCGTAATCAATGAAACAGAAGTAGATGTTTTTCTGGAACTCTCTGGCTTTCTCCATAATCCAGCGCATGTTAGCAATTTGGTCTATGGTTCCTCTGCCCCTTCGGAATCCAGCTTGTACCTCTGGGAGTTCTCAGTCCACATACAGTTGAAGCCTGCCTTGTAGGATTTTGAGCATAACCTTGCTAGCGTGTGAAATGAGTGCAATTGTACGGTAGTTGGAGCATTCTTTGGCACTACCCTTATTTGGGATTGGGATGTAGACTGATCTTTTCCAATCCACTGGCCACTGCTGAGTTTTCCAAACTTGCTGGTATATTGAGTGTAGCACCTTAACAGTGTCAACTTTTAAGATTTTGAATAGTTCAACTGGAATGCCATCATCTCCACTGGCCTTGCTGTTAGCCATGCTTTCTAAGGCCCACTTGACTTCCCTCTCCAGGATGTCTGGCTCAAGGTCAGAAACCACCCTAATCTGTGTTGTCTGGGACATCCAGATCTTTCTGGTATAATTCCTCTGTGTATTCTTAACACCTCTTCTTGATGTTTTCTGCTTCTGTGAGGTCCCTACCATTTTTGTCCTTTATCATGTCCATCTTTGCACAAAATGTTCCTTTAATATCTCCAATTTTCTTGAACAGATATCTGGTTTTTCTCTTTCTATTATTTTCCTCTATATCTTTGCCCTCTTGTCTCTCCTTGCTATTCTTTGGAAGTCTGCATTCCATTTTCTGTAACTTTCTCTGTCTCCCTTGCATTTTGTTTCTCTTCTCTGCTATTTGTAAGGCCTCACTGGACAGCTACTTTGCTTTCTTGCATTTCCTTTTCTTTGGGATGGTTTTCGTTGCTGCCTCCTGTACAATGTTATGAGCCTCCATCCATAGTTCTTCAGGCACTCTGTCCACCAAATCGAGTTCCTTACATCTGTTCTTCACTTCCACTGTGTATTCATAAGGGATTTGGGTTGTCATGCACATGTAATAATAAATCACTCCTATCTAATAGGACCTTGGACACCCTAAATCAACAGGCTGCTTGGGGGAGCCAACATTTCTAAAATAGTGGAATAACATTCTGCCACTACCTCCTTTTTTCGTATGTTTAAGGAAAGAAAAATCTTGTTCCAAATGGAAGGGAGGAGGATGCATTAAAGAGAGCACTCAGAACCCTTCCTTTTTTAACTCAACACTGGCTGAGTTCCCTACAATACAGGAACTTTACAAGCTCTGGTAAATGGTTAGCTATTACCATTAATCTTTGGGGGTGGGGTGAAAGAATCTGTCCATGTGGGTGGTCAAAGGTTTGGACTGGTGGACTCTGCTCCTTTAGAGGATGATGCAAGATAGAAGCTGAGGGTGGGCCTCCCTTGCCCAGATAAATCCATTATCTGCTGATACTGGAGTGCTGGAACAAAATAATGCTTTACTGGCATTGCATGTCGATAATTCCTTAACACTTTGGATATTAGAGACCTCAATATTTCGACCAGCAGTCCTCACTGAGGACTAGAGTCTTCCTGGTAATTCTTTCTTGAAAGCCCTCATCCAGAACGGCAAGCAAATGGCAGCTGCCCAAACAAATATCAAGATCCCAGATACTGTTATTTAATAATGCGAAGGCATTAAGGCAGCTTAGATGTAAGACCGGGATTTAAAAGAGGCACTTGATAGCTTTTAATGTCATCCAAACCTCAAGTGACATTTCGCACATTTATGCCCTCTGCCAGGGCGCTAAATTCCACCCAGACCTCCTGCTCGAACTAGAAGGAAACACAGGCCTTCGGAGGAAATTTACAGCTGGCAGCCTTTGGCCGTTAGCCATTTCTTCCTAACTAAGAATCAGAACCTCGTCAGGATGACGCTCTGCCAAAACTCCCAAAGCTGGAATGAAGATCGACCCACTGGGCTGCTTGGAGGGCCACGATGAGGGGCGGGACCAGATTTTGCTGCTGACGGGGCCTTTCCAAGGACTAAAACATAGAAGGCAGGGAGAATGCAAGCAAATGTAAAACACAGAATGGCCTCGGCTGCAGGAAAAGTGTCAAGTAGGGGTCCAGAGGCATCCACTGGATTCAAAAGATGAACAGACTGCACGAGAAATAAGACACACAATCCAAGACGAAAGGAGAATAGGAAGAAAATGCAGGTTGGGTTCAGAAAAATGCAATAAAACGGACAAGCTATTCCTGGCTCTTTCCAGCCGAGAAGTGCCTTACGACCAGAAGCAACAGCACAGGCCATGATCCAAAGACTCCGCTCCATGCCACTGCATTGCTCGCTACCAGCCGGGATGCCTCAGCCGATCTGCAAAGTTATCCCCCCTCCCCGCCCCCATTATTTCAACAGACTTATCTACTGCTCCGACCCTGAGATCCGCCCGCCCGTGGGCCAAGCAAGAGGGATCCCTCCCCAAAGAACGACTTAGCCTGCAACAAGAACAACCACTTTTGAAATCATGAATGAAAGACGTGCTGCCAGATCACCAGAGAGGCGCCTGAAAAGAATGCTTTGACCAAAGGGTGGGAAACTCAGCCGCCCTGGTTATGCGGGTTTAATGGTAATCCATAAGGAGTTGCAATAACCTGGTGATGCCCTCCTCCCATATCCTATTGTTAGTAAACACAAAGCGCAGAAGATCAAATACCCTGAGCTACAAGGTCAGGAGTAGACACGGCCTGAAAGACAGATTGGATACGCAATATCCTTGGCACATTCAATATACTTGATTTATTGGCTAAGGCTCATTGAAGAGGCGCCCTCTAACCTCAGGCATGAACTTGCTGAAATTTTGGCAAGTTTTCAGCCCGTCTTGAAAGGCTGCCAGAGTGGGAGACAAATTCCTTTTCCAAAGCAGGGAGTCCCTCACCAGGAATTTCCTAGGCAGCAGAACCGACGGCGGTCTCCAAAATAATTTGGAAGGCTGCCTTTTGACACTCTTCCCCCGCAATAGCAGGGGCTGAGCATAGCTGCCACGCAGCGGAAGGGCAGGATAAAGCACTGTGTAACTGCCTTCTAAGAATCTTCCTTTGGATGGTTTTTGAGATCAAGCTGCTAGTCCTCAAGGGGAGATCAGGGGATTTCTCCTCCCCGTGCAAACAGGCAGTGCCTTATTGGGAGAAAGCATGCTGACACACAAACAGGCAAACCAACCAACCAGAAGCAGGCACACAAACATAAAAATTCCCAGAGAGCGGCTGAGATTCCTACTGTCCCCGTTAAAACAACGGCTTCGTTTATCGAGAACCCTGCCTTCTTTTTCTGGAGTGACAGCCTCGGAAACCACTGCCCTGGTCTGACCTCGTAGGAGGCAGAAGGCAACATTTCTGGACATTTTGACAGCCGCGTGCCGGTGGATTCTAGAGTCCAGAAACAAGATGTCCAAGTGGAGGGAGGACAGCATGGAGGGCCCGCATCCACAGCGGGGATAGGAAAACTCTCATGACTTCGCGCCCAGTTTTGCCCCGGCCTGTTTCCCATGATCCAGTGTCCTCGAGCACATTCAAACGGCAGCCATTCTCAGAAAGGACAAACAGGGCCATTGTGTTGAACCGGCCACAAAATCATTTGAAAACACACACCACTGCAGAAAGAAAGGAAGGCGAAGAGACAGGGGGAAAAAAGGG